GAATTTAGCCTACACTGTGTTAACGATGTTATCTTAGGAAAATGCAATAGAGAGATATTGGAGATGCCTTGAGAGTTAAATCAGAAGCTATTATCTTGGGACGAACTGCATTGTTCTTTTTTATATAGTTATGGAAATACTGGGTGTAGAGACCGTCTTTTTCTCAGAATTGCACAAGACAATATACAGTAATCTAATTCATAAGAAAAATGGTCAATTTTGTTAAATGGGTTTTTTTCAAAGCAGCCGTCACCAGAAACTGGATGGTTCCACAGACTAAATGTCTAGTACGCTTAGTTTATAGCCTTCAAGCCAGCTGGGACTACTAGTAGGATTTTAATGAAACAATGTACTTTGTTCTCCCATGATGATTATTTTAAGTGTACTGTGGCTTGTTTTTCTGTGCTCCGACTTGGAGCGTGGTACAGGCAGACACTGCTGCCATTGGCCTGTGCAGGAAAAATGTTTAACAGGAACAAGAAGTATTGTTATAGAGGAATGGGGGCAAGAGAAGAAGGGAATTTATTTGGGTTATTTGTGTAAATAATATGCTTTGGCGTCAGAGCCTGCTTCTTAACAACACTGCTCTTAGTCTTTTTTCTTTTTTGGTCAGATGCCTAGACTATTCCATCCCCTTTCATAATATGTGTGTGTATACACAGGAACATATATAAACACAGCTGACCCGCCACATTTGCAGAGTCAACTTTTAGGGATTTGATTATTTGCGGATTTGATTAAAATGTACTCTCTACACAACTTTTGCGGGAATTTTACCATCGAGTCACACTGGAAGATTGAGAGATTGTCTAGGTGCAATTCTGTGATCAACTGGCAGCTTTTTATATGCAGTTTTCACCTTTGTGCAGGTTCTGTGACCCTAACCTTAGTGAATGTGGAAGGCTGATTGTGTGTGTCTTCAAGTCACCTGTTGAATTATGGAGAATTCAGTAATTTCAGTTTTCTCAGGAAAGGAATACTCAGGTGTCTTGGCCAGTTCCACGCCAGCACCAGACACTATGAGTTCCCAGGAAAGAATTTCCTCCTAACTGACCTTTTCCTTAGAGATGTGACCCTCTAGACCAGTATTTCTCAGCCTGGGGGTTGGAACCCCTGGCAGGGTTGCGGGGGGGGGGGGGGGGGGGGGGTGTCCGAGGGGTCACAAAAAACTACTGGAAAACACATATTTCTGATGGTCTTAGGAACACAGTGCTCTTCCCTAAATCACTGTCAATTCATCCTAGTATTTACTGTTGGTCATGGGGGTTCAAGGGGTTCTTTGATTATAAGTGAACTATAAATCCCAGCAACTACAACTCCCAAATGCCAAGGTCTATTTTCCCCAAACTCCAACAGTGTTCACATTTGGGAATATTGAGTATCTGTGCCAAGTTTGGTCCAGATCCATCATTGTTTGAGACTACAGTGCTCTCTGAATGAAGGTGAACTACAACTCCGAAACTCAAGGTCAATGCTCACCAAACCCTTCCAGTATTTTCTTTTGGTCATGGGAGTTCTGTGTGCCAAGTTTGGTTCAATTCCATTGTTGGTGGAGTTCAGAATACTCTTTGATTTAAGGTGAACTATAAATCCCAGCAACTACAACTCCCAAAATCAATCCCCTCCAACCCTATCAGTATTCAAATTTTGGTGCAGTGAATGAAATACATTCTGGATGTCAGATATTTACATTATGATTCATAACAGTAGCAACATTACAGTTAGGAAGTAGCAACAAAACTAACATGAGGAACTTTATTTAGGGGTCCCATCATTTGGAAAGTTGAGAAACACTGCTCTAGAGTTGCTTGACTTTAGCTCCCTTAATTCCTTACCATTGGCTATGCTAGTTGGGGCTTATGGGGCAAAAGAAAATCACTATTACTAATGTCTGTTATTGTTGCCATTGTTTGCCTTCAAGTCATTTCTGACTTATGGAACCCTAAGGTGATCCTATCATTGGTTGTCTTGGCAAAAGTTATTCAAAAGTTATTGCGTTTTCTTCCTCTGAGGCACAGAAGTGTGACTTGCACAAGATTCTAGTTAAAGTCCATAGTCAACCAAGGATTTGATCCCTGACATCCAGAGCTTTGATCTGAAGCTCAAACCACCACACCACACTGAGATTTTGGGAACATCCTGCCAGTCTTATTTTGAAAGATGGTTATCCTGGGTGGGACAGTGATTCATCTGGGACATCACTCGTGTGGATATGGAAACCAGACCCTGAGAAGAATAGCTGTAAAAACCTAGTGCATTTCCTAGCAAATGGAAGATTATGTTGGGTGGGCTCCATAGTTGTTGCTAAAAAATAGAGTAGATTTTCTTCAGACAGTTTTGATGGACAATGTAAAAGTTTTATGAGTTGCTGAAATTGTAGAACTAGAAGACTTAAGGCAGGGATGAGAATTATGCAGCCCTCAAGATGTTGCTGACTTGAAGCCCTAGTCAGAATAACCAATGACAAAGAATGCTGGGAGATACAATCATCCAATATCTGGAGGGCTGTGTGATTCCTCATCCTTGCTTCAAGGGCTAGGTGAATTAGAAATGGTGTTTTAGTTTTGCTTAAATTGATTTCTGTCAGCTTCTTATACTATGCCATTCTGGTCCCTGAGCACTTGTATTCAAGGACCCCTCACTCACCTTTGGGGAGTATGCCAGGCCACCCTTTTCTGCCTTTGAGGTGACAGTCGTGGTACTGCTACATGTTCATTCACATGATAGAAGTGGGCAGCTGCTAGCTCCTCAAAGGTGGTGGAGCCCAAAGAATGCACACCTGATAGCCAGGATTTACTGCAGCTTCCACTGCTGCCCTATATCATTTTATTAATAAAGGGCTTATAAATATGGAGAAAAATGTGGGAGACATCAGGCTGCAGAGAGACATGAGTATCTGTGAAACAGTGGGTGGTGTGGATTTTTACCAAGCGCTATACTTGTATTCTAGCCATTTCATAGATTCTTGTGAAGCCTCTCCAATTTTACTCATACTGTATAGTATGTCCTCATTATTCCTTATTTCCCATACGCATACTTCAACCCTCCCCCCTCCCCCGCCAGAAGTGTTTGTGGACTTCCCAAGGTGCTTTGGTGCTATTCTGGAGTATGCTTCTGGCCCAAGTAAAGTCAAAATATATTATTTGAGGTTTCAGGAATCCACCATGTGCATGTCTCTGCATGCATATATCTAGGAATGTATCCCCCATGGATACAGGGTTGTACTGCACTGTATATACCAGGCAATGTGTGAACCACAGAGTGGACCTTTGGCAATACCATTGTTTACGACCTAAAGGAGTAGATATTATTGAGGTTTTTAATCTTAAATGTTCAAGTTGTGTTTTATATCAGTCGTTTTTGGGTTGTATGGATGCAGCGGGGGGAGGTGTTATAACATTATAAGCCGCTACTCTATATATCTCGTGGCTTATGATAGTATTTTTATGTTATGCAGCTGTTGCTGATTTTAAGTGCTGTAATCTGCTTTGAGTCCTATCCCGGGAGAAAAGCAGGAAATAAATAAATAAATAATAACTCCCACAATTCTTAAAAGCTGATCGGACTTCAACTCGCAAAATTCCTAACAGACTACTGGAGGGCTGAAGTTTGCCCATGCCTGGTATATACTATGCTACTTGTGTTATATAAAGTATTGCATTGTGTACAGAACTATAGTTTGAATCTGCAGTTGTTGAATATGCAGATTGTAAGCCTGTTGACATTGCAAGCCCATTGTATCTGGAACATCACCAAATATTATCATCTTGATAACGGAGAGCTGTTTGTGTGAACACTGGAAATCATTGTGTACATAGTGACATGAAAGTATTCCTGAGGTAATGCTCATATATGTATTTGTAGTCATCATGAGATAGTTTGGTCGTCAAGCAATAAAATGTGTACCTGTGGAGACTGTTACTGTACTCATAAGAGTGAGCAACAGATGTAGCCTCTCCAGTAACATCTGCAGAGCAGCTGCTTCTCATGCTATATTTTTGCATGGGATAGAATGCGTGAGTATAAAGTATATGCACATTGCATTACACATAAAGAGAGCATGGATATAAAAATTGTATCTCAGCATTTTTTTTAAAAAAAGTATCCCCAGCTTGGGATAGGGATTTGCACTTTGAACAGTTCTTTTAAAGTTCAGTTTATAACCCAAAGCAATTCCCACATTCAAATGACATGAAAGCTCCAAGCTATTGCAACTCAGAAGTATGACCAGGGATGCAACATAGAAGGTCCGCCTATTTTCACAAAGTTTTTGGGTTCAAGACCTCTACAAAAGTGGGGAAATGCTAATAAAAATCTGCTTTTTTTCAACTTGAGAGAGCACCTCTCTGGGAATTTCTAGGTCCTCCATCATGACTTACAGAAGTTGGCCATAAAGTTGGACTGGAGTACTTTCAGATTCCAAGAGATAACATATTAATCAAATCTGCAGATTTTAAACCTGCAGATTTTGAGAGCCAACTATAGCACCCCCCTTCCAAATATTTCTTGAAGAAGCTTTGCTTGTGAGGGGAGGGGAAAGCCCTTATGCTTCCATCACCTGCTTGATGTTTAATCTTTTGGGTATTGGAGTTTTATACCTGCCTCTTTACCAACATTCCTATTAATCATCTGTGCAATCCCAAATTCTTCATATTGCCTGGGATATTTTCTATTAAACGGAGATAAAGAAAGGTCATTGATTTCTTGCCTGCTGCACTCTGGGCTCTCTGTATCCCATAAGAAAGGATTGCTCGTTCTTATCTTTTATTCATCGCTTACTGCAAAACCTGGAGGCTAGTTCAGATATCCCAGGCAGCAGCTATGTAAATATTTATTGACACTGCAGTCATTAAAGTGGGGAGGGGGTGGAGACCATTTCTTTGGCCCACTCATACAGGAAACCCTTAGTTCTGCCTCTGTCGGGCAGTGAGGACAGGAAAAGTTGGTGTTTGGCGTTTGTGTGACGTAGCCTGACTTCCGTGGTTTATCTTCTGTTGCAGATTGCCATCCATAGAACAACCAGAGGCCACTCATCTCCTTACCAAAGAGGCTTTCCTCCTTTAGCCAGCTCTACCAGCCTAAAACTCCAGTAAAAGAAAATGAGGCTTACAGATATCTTGACGGTTTGCTCTTTGGAAATTAATGCGACAGCAGTGACCATCACCTTCCTGGCAACCTTCCTGGTCCTCCTTTATTGGTAAGTGAACTGATGGTATAGGCAATTCTTGAGGCATAATGCTGGTACGTTTTTCAGCAGTGTGAATTTGGTATTCCTCTTAAGTTTCCAAATAAGTGCTATATTTCTGAAGAGCATCGGATTTTCAGTGCTCACTCACTTTGGCAATATTGCTAACCTGTGAGTAATCTTCCATGTCTCTTATGAAGTGCATTCAGGTAAACAAAAGTTTATTTTGTTTGGATTGTTGTAGCTTTTTCAGGTTGTATGGCCATGTTCTAGAAGTATTCTCTCCTGATGTTTTGCCTGCATCTATGGCAGGCATCCTTAGATGCAGGCAAAATGTCAGGAAAGAATGCTTCTAGAACATGGCCATACAGCCTGAAAAACCTACAACATCCCAGAGATTCCAGCCATGAAAGCCTTCGACAACACATTTATTTTGTTTGTTTTTAACTTAAGGGATCATGCCACTCTTTGATGTAAGTTGCTTCCCCTTTCCTATATATGTTAAGTTTTTGGGATGATGGCTATTCCCATCTCTAGTAGGAATTTGAAACAGCAAATGTTTGGCTGCCAGAATTAATGAGCATGCTGATTGGATTGCTTGTTTTAAAATGTGGCAGTTGAATTTTAATTGGACTTCATCTTCTTTGAGAGGTGACTGGTGCAAAGCATCTTTTTGTGCACAGGAGTCAAACAAGTTGTTCAAGGGAATTTCCATGACAATAAGAGGTTTGTGTCGCTCATTGAGAGAAAGTGTTAGTCTAATTAAGTGTCTTGATGTGCTGTGATACTGACATCAATTAAAAGGTGGAAAGCAAAGCAGTTCATCAACTTAAAAAAAAACAAGTTTGACTAGCTTGCGGCTTTCAACAAAGCAAAGTCTATTGGAGACTTGTACCATACATGACAGAAAATCATGCTCTTAATATCTGCTTAAACTGGATAATATGAGTACCCTGTTATTACAGGATAGAGATTGCTTTTAGCTTGAGAAGTGCCAGAGGAGTCTATTATAAATCTGTTGAAGACTTGATCCTGGATAATATTGGGATGAGAAAGTAACCATCTAAAAGTCTATAAGTGTTTTGGGAATGAAATTTAGTGGCAAGGTTGCTTAGGACTAGCTCTCTTAAGAACTTTGGGAACAGGATGCTGAAACAAAGGGGGACTTGAGAAATCTCCTGCAATAGTTTCAGTCATTGGTATGTTGATACTGATGTGGGAACCATCGTGTTATGAGTGGTGTGTCATCACAGTTTCCTCTGTAACACGGTTCCTCTTTTAATGGCTACGTTCTGTTATGGAATCAATTGCCAAAGTGTTGGCACACTATAGTACAGGAGCAGACTGTGATTACATCTCGCCTTAGGCTTTATCACAGGGAAAATTGGATTTGGGGTGCAATACCTAGAGTTTGAAAAAGTCACGTGTTTTGACAACCACAGACCTGCAGCCTACATAATCACTAGGGACCTCTTCACATGGGGCATTTTTGCCCCATTTTGCCACTTTTAATTGCAGCAAGGATGGGGCCGGCTGTGTGCCATCACATGACTCATGGCAGGACTCTCCCACATACCTCTGAAAGGTGCTTTCTCCTTCTCTATGGAGAGGAAAGTGTAGTTTGGGTAGCTACCCACAATTTCCTCTCTTTTTTCCATGTGATGGCAGAAAGGGTGGTGGGGCAACGTGCATTGCCGCCCTTTCTGCCATCTGATGAAGGGAGGAAAAGGTTGCCAAAGCACCCTCTCCTGGCCCTTCCATGTGGTGAGGGGAGGAGGGATTGCTGGTACAACTGCATGACCCAAAAGGGCCATGTAAAGAGGTCGTAGCTGTTGCCCCATAGTTGTTTTTTCAATTTTTATTACATATAAATGTGTGTGCTTTGTTAAACCACTTTGAGTCTCCTTGTATAATAATAATAATAATAATAATAATAATAATAATAATAATAAGCCTGAAAAGTTACAAAAAATGAATACGTCAAACTACTCTGAGACTTCTGAATTCAGACTGACAGAGTTTTGGAGCACAATACTCCTGACCTCATGATTGTGAAAAACAAAAACAAAAACCAGTATGGATTGTAGATGTTGCAATCCCAGGTGACAAGAGAATTGACGAGAAGCAACAGGAAAAGATTTCACAACATGAGGATTTAAAGATTTGAACGAGAGGACATAGTTTTTAATTTTTTTATTATTCATTGTTTTTATGTTTCTAAATGTACTGTAATGTTTCCTTTTTGCTTTTTATCAATGTATGTATTTTATATATGGCATCGAATTGTGCCAACTTTGTATGCCACTCTGAGTTGCCTTCGGGCTGATATGGGCGGGATAGAAATAGTGTAAATAAATAAATAAATAAATAAAAATTGAACTTCAAAGACTCTGGCACAAACCAATAAAGGTGGCCCCAGTGGTGATTGGCACACCGGATGCAGTGCCTAAAGACCTTGGCCTGCACTTAAAAACAATCGACGCTAACAAAATTACCATCTGTCAGCTGCAAAAGGCCACCCCACTCTGATCTGCATGCATTGTTCGTTAATATATCACACAGTCCTAGCCATCATAGTGATCTTGTTTGCTGTGTACTAATCTTGTTGTGTATGTGTATCTAATAATACTCCAGCAAAGGATCACCGCCTTGTCGGGGCGCTGGAGCTTGAGCACCTCAATGATGTCATGAGCGAAACCGTGAAGGGCCACCCAAGATGGGACGAGTTGTGGCAGAGAGGTCAGACCAAGCGTGATCCCTGGGGAAGGCAATGGCAAACCACTCCAGTATCCTTGCCAAGAAAACTAAATGGACCAGTACAACCAGAGATATGTCGGTATGCCATTGGAAGATGGACTCCCAGGTCGGAAGATGGCCAAAATGCTACTGGGGAGGAGCAGAGGATAAGTTCAACTAGCCCCAGATGTGATGACGCAGCTAGCTCAAAGCTGAAAGGAAGGCTAGCGGCCGACGGTACTGGAGGTGAACGACGAATCCGATGCTCTAAAGATCAACACACCATAGGAACCTGGAATGTAAGATCTATGAGCCAGGGCAAATTGGATGTTGTTATTGGTGAGATGTCAAGACTAAAGATAGACATTCTGGGGGTCAGCGAACTGAAATGGACTGGAATGGGCCACTTCACATCAGATGACCACCAGATCTACTACTGTGGACAAGAGAACATCGAAGAAATGGAGTAGCCTTCATAATTAATAAGAAATTCACTAAAGCGGTGCTTGGATACAACCCAAAAAATGACAGAATGATCTCAATTCGAGTGCAAGGAAAGCCTTTCAACATTACAGTGATCCAAATATAGCCCCAACCACAGCTGCTGAAGAAGCAGAAGTAGATCAGTTCTATGAGGATCTGCAGGACCTACTGGATAATACTCCAAAAAGAGACATTATTTTCATTACAGGAGACTGGAATGCCAAGGTGGGAAGTCAAATGACAACTGGGATCACAGGCAAGCATGGTCTGGGAGAACAAAATGAAGCGGGATGCAGGCTGATAGAATTTTGCCAGGAAAACTCGCTGTGTATAACGAATACTCTCTTCCAACAACCTAAAAGACGGCTTTATACATGGACCTCACCAGATGGTCAACACCGAAATCAGATTGACTACATCCTTTGCAGCCAAAGGTGGCGGACATCCATCCAGTCGGTGAAAACAAGACCTGGGGCTGACTGTAGCTCAGATCACGAACTTCTTATTGCCCAATTTAGAATAAAACTAAAGAGATCAGGGAAAATACACAGACCAGTTAGATATGATCTCACTAACATTCCTAGCGAATATACACTGGAAGTGAAGAACAGATTTGAAGGACTAGATTTAGTAAACAGAGTCCCAGAAGAACTATGGCAGAAGTCCGAGACATTGTTCAGGAGGTGGCAACAAAGTACGTCCCAAAGAAAAAGAAAACCAAGAAGGCAAAATGGTTGTCTGCTGAGACACTGAAGTAGCCCAAGAAAGGAGGAAAGCAAAAGGAAACAGGGATAAGGGGAGATATGCCCAGTTAAATGCGCAATTCCAGAGGTTAGCCAGAAGAGATAAGGAACTATTTTTAAATAAGCAATGCATGGAAGTGGAAGAAGACAACAGAATAGGAAGGACAAGAGACCTCTTCCAGAAAATTAGAAACATTGGAGGTAAATTTCAGGCAAAAATTGGTATGATAAGAAACAAAGATGGCAGGGACCTAACAGAAGCTGAAGAGATCAAGAGAAGGTTGCGAGACTATACAGAAGATCTGTATAGGAAGGATAATAATATTGAGGATAGTTTTGACGGTGTGGTGAATGAATTAGAACCAGACATCCTGAGGAGTGAGGTTGAATGGGCCTTAAGAAGCATTGCTAACAACAAGGCAGCAGGAGATGACGGGATCCCAGCTGAACTGTTTAAAATCTTAAAAGATGATGCTGTCAAGGTGATGCATGCCATTTGCCAGCAAATATGGAAAACACAAGAATGGCCATCAGACTGGAAAAAATCAACTTATATCCCCATACCAAAAAGGGAAATGCGAAAGACTGCTCAAACTTCCGTACAGTGGCCCTTATTTCTCATGCCAGTAAGGTAATGCTCAAGATCCTGCAAGGAAGACTCCAGCAATACATGGAGCGAGAGTTGCCAGATGTTCAAGCTGGGTTTAGAAAAGGCAGAGGAACGAGAGACCAGATTGCCAATATCCGCTGGATAATGGAGAAAGGCAGGGAGTTTCAGAAAAACATCTACTTCTGCTTCATTGACTATTCTAAAGCCTTTGACTGTGTGGATCATAATAAATTGTGGCAAGTTCTTGGTGGGATGGGCATCCCAAGCCACCTTGTCTCTCTCCTGAGGAATCTGTACAAGGACCAAGTAGCAACAGTCAGAACTGACCACGGAACAACAGACTGGTTCAAGATTGGTAAAGGCGTACGGCAAGGCTGCATCCTCTCACCCAACCTTTTTAACTTGTATGCAGAACACATCATGCGATGTGCGGGGCTTGA